CAGATTCGCCTCAGCAAATAACCCTGGCAAAGAGATCCACGAAATACAGATGTAATCTGTGCAGATGAATTAACAGAACACTAAGGCAGTTTCTCAGAAGCTTCTTTCCAGGTTTCATTAATGAGGATATTTCCTTTTTCACCTAGCCCTCTATGGGCTTCCAAACTAATCCACCTTACCCAATTCCACAAAGAACTGTCTTAGCCAATTTAGTCCTTCTTGAGGGGTAGCAGCCTGTAATCTGGTGAGATTTTCACCCCGGAACACAAAGGAAGTTTCTCAGAAAACCCATCTTCCTCTTTGCTTTTCGGGAGGGATATTTCCTTTTGGCCCTATAGCGTTAAAAAGGGGATCCCGAAAATATCTGGTTCTCACATTCCCTCAGATAGGCTACGCACAGCAGACTCCACCACGAAGTACAGACCGATGTAATCTGTGAGACTAATTAACAGAACACTAAGCACTAGTTTGTCAGCAAAGCTTATTTCCAGATTTCATCTGAGGATATTTCCCTTTTCTCACACCATAGCCCTCTATGGGCTTCCCAAATATGCAACTTTGCAATTCCACAAGAACTGTCTCTAGCGAAAGCTTCTTGAGCGGAAAAAGCCGTACAACTCTGTGAGATGATTTAACAGACAGACAAAGAGTTTCTCAGAAAGCTTCTCTCTCTCTGTTTCGGATGGATATTTCCGTTTGCCCTATAAGTCTTCTACAGGGATTTCCGAACTAATCTGTTCTCAGATTCCACCAGAACAAAAGACTAGTGAAGAGATCCACAAAATCAGATGTAACTAAGTGAGTGGATTACACATCACAGGCAGTTTTCAGATAGCTTCTGTGCAGATTTTCAACTGAGGATATTCCTTTTTCACCAGTACCATCTATGGGCTTCCAAATATCACTTTGCCATTCCACAGAAGTGCGTCTTAGCGACAACGGCTCTCTTGAGGGGCCACAAGCTGTCACCTATGAGGAGATCGTTTCACAGAACAACAAAGAAAGTTTCTCAAGAAAGCTTGTTTCCATCGTTTGCTTATGGGAAGGTAAATCCCTATTGCCCTAGCAAGTCTTT